CATTATAATTATTAGTAATTAATAATATTCCATTAATTATTATGGAATATTATTTATTATTGTAGGTTATTATAAATTATTGTGGATTATAATTAATTATATGGATTGGTACATTTTAATAATTATCATGAATTATTGTGGGTTATTATTGATTATCATTAATTGTTATTGAATATTTTTAATTATTATTAATTATTAAGGAATATTAATCATATTATTAATTATTACATTTTATTATTAATTATTATGCATTGTTGTTATTTATTAATAATTATTGTGGATGATTATCAATTATTATAAATTATTATTAAATGATGTGGGTTTTTATTAATTTTTATTAATAATTATGAAATATTTTTTATTATGATTAAATATTCTGAATTATTGCATGTTATTATTAATTATTGTGAATTATTAATAGTTATTGTGGACTATTATTAATGGTTTTTCGATTATTATTATCAATTATTAATGTTTATTATTAATATTATTTATCTCTGGGTTAAAGTGGATCTGACGTCATCCGGGTATTGATTCACATTCGTCTAAAGTCAACCGTGTCTGAGGTTAATAACCCTAATTATTATGGATTATTGTTAATTAGTGTGGATTATTAACGAATATTATGGATACTTATGGATTATTATTAATTATTATTAATTATTATGGATTATTATTAATTGTTACAAATTATTAATTATTATTTATTATTATAATTCTTAAATATTGTTAATTATTAAGAATTATTTTTAATTATTATGGATTATTGTAAACTGTTATTGTTATGGATTATTATGTATTAATAACGAATAATGTGGATTATGATTAATTATTATTAATTATTAATAATTATTGTGGAAGATTATGGATTGTTATTAATTATTATGGATTATGATGGATAATTAATATTATGTATTGTTGTTAATTATTATGGATTATTAAGGATTATTAGTAGTTATCATGGAATCTTATTAATTATTACGGATTATTATTAATTATTATGGATAATTATGGATTATTATTAATTATGATTAATTATTATGGATCATTAATTATTATGTATTGTTGTAATTTTTATGGAATATTATGGATTATTATGTATTAATATAAAATATCATAAATTATTATGGATTGTTATTAATTATTGTGTATTATTAATTATTATGGATTACTATTAATTACTATGCATTATTGATTATTATAGATTATTATTAATTATTATTAACTAATGTGTCATGTTATTATGTTATGGATTATTAATTATTATTTAATATTAAATATTTTTTACTTATTATGAATTATTAAGGATGACTAATTATTATGGATAACAATACATAATATTAATGATTGTTAATATTATTATGAATTATTATGGAATATTATCAATTATTATTGATTATTATGGATTAATATAAATTATTATTAATTATAATGGATGATGACACACAAAGATACAAACACAGACAGACACAGAGAACGATACGCAGACGCAGACAGACACAAATACACAATACGCAGTCACACACAATCACACACAGGCACAGACCCAGTGACACCTCTATATAGTCTGATATAAACAGTGAGAATCTCTGTATAGAGAAAACACAGTCATTACACTTTATAGTTTATCCTGTGAGAGAGAAACAGAGAGAGTGACACACACACACACACGTGCACAAAGGCAAACGCACATACTGAACTGTGGTGACACATACACATGTACACGAAAAGACACTCACACACGGGCGCAGACACACAAACACACACGCACACACACACACACACACACAGGCAAACACAACTGAGCCATGGACACACACAAAACGACACACACGTACACACAGTCACACACACAGAGACACACCCACACACAGACACAGACACACAGACGCACACACAGATACACACACAGACACAGACACACACAGGCACAGACGCACACACAGACACACAGATACACAAACAGATACACACACAGACACAGACACACAGACGCACTCACAGACACAGACACACAGACACACACAGGCACAGACGCATACACAGACACACAGATGCACACACAGATACACACCCACACACAGGCACAGACGTACACACAGACACACAGATACACACACAGATACACACACAGACACACACAGGCACAGACACACAGACGCACTCACAGATACAGACACACAGACACACACAGGCACAGACGCATACACAGACACACAGATGCACACACAGATACACACCCAAACACAGACACACACAGGCACAGGCACACAGACACATACACAGACGCAAACGCACAGATGCACTCACAGATACACACAGACACACACAGGCACAGACACACAGACCCACACACAGACACAGACACACAGATGCACACACAGATACACACACTGACACAGACACACACAGGCGCAGACACACAGACGCACACACAGACACAGACACACAGACGCACACACAGATACACACCCACACAGAGACACACACAGGCACAGACACAGTAACACCTCTATGTAGTCTGATATAAACAGTGAGAATCTCTGTATGGAGAAAACACAGTCACTACACTTTATAGTTTATCCTGTGAGAGAGAAACAGAGAGAGTGACACACACACACACGCACACTCATAAATACAAACAAACAGAGCCGAGCTCGCACAGAAACACACGCGCACACACACACACACAGACACTGAGCCGTGTGCTGACACACACACGTACACACACACACACACACACACACAGAGACAGACACACACATATACACAGACACACAGTCAGACACAGACACACACACGCAGTCACAGAAACACCCACACCCACCCGCACACAGACATACACACACACACTCAGCTGGGCTGATATACACAGATACACATACAGACACAGAGATACAGACACACACACACACACAAAGAACTACACAGACAGACACACGCGGGCGCACACACACACACACACACACACAGAAACACCCACACAGGCAGACACACAGATGCACACAAAAAGACTGACATACACAAACACACACACAGACACAGACATACACAGACAGAGACTCAGCCGTGCTGACACACAGATACACACACACACAGTCATACACACAGACACAGACACACTCACACACACACATTCATACACACAGACACACACACACAGTCATACACACACACACACACACAGACACAGTCATACACACAGACACACACACACACAGTCATACAGACACACACACACAGTCATACAGACACACACACACAGTCATACACACAGATACACACACACAGTCATACACAGACACGGACACACACACACAGTCATACACACAGACACACACACATACAGTCATACACACGGACACACAGTCCTACACACAGACACACACACACAGTCATACACACACACACACAGTCATACACACAGACACAGACACACACACACAGTCATACACACATACACACAGTCATACACACAGACACACACACACACACACAAAGTCATACACACAGACACACACACACACAGTCATACACACAGACACACACACACACAGTCATACACACAGACACACACACAGTCATACACACAGATACACACACAGAGTCATACACAGACACAGACACACACACACATTCATACACACAGACACACACACACACAGTCATACACACGGACACACAGTCCTACACACAGACACACACACACAGTCATACACACACACACACAGTCATACACACAGACACAGACACACACACACACACATACACAGCGTCATACACACAGACACACACACACACACAGTCATACACACAGACACCGTGACAACTCTATATAATCTGATATTGACAGTGAGAACCTCTATATAGACAAAACACAGTCACTACACTTCGCAGTTTACCCTGTGAGAGGGACACAGATAGAGTGAGATAGATACACAAACACACACACACACAGGTACACTCACACAGACAAACAGATAAACGCACACAAACAGACAAACTCACACACACACAGACACACAAACATATGCACCAAGACAAACGTACACACACTGAACCGTGGTGACACACACGCACGCACACAAAAAAGGTACACATACACACGCAAACATGGGCGCAGACACACACACACAAACACACGCATAGACACACACAACTGAGCCGTGGTGACATACACAGACGCGCACAAAACGCCACACACATACATACACAGATACACACAGGCACACACAGAGACAGACATACAGGCACAGATACATACACAGACACACACACATATGCACGCAAAGAGACACATACAAACAGACGTGCAAACAGACGCAAACACACACAGGTACTGAGCCAGACAGACAGACAGACAGACACACGGACAGACGGACAGACACACGGACAGACAGACACACGGACAGACGGACGGACACAGACAGACAGACACACGGACAGACAGATCTGACAATCGACTATCAACCGGGTTCCTATTTATTGCAAAGTAAACAGACGCGGGTGTGTGGAGTAAGAAAACTTGACCGACGTTTCTCCCCGTCTAGGAATCGAACTCAGGTGTCTCGTTTTTGAGGTGAGTGCCTCAGCACTGAGCTACAGGATACCAGGAGAGAGAGAGAGAGAGAGAGAGAGAGAGAGAGAGAGAAGGAAATGAAAGAAACTTTCCTCTCTCCGAGAGAGAGAGAAAGAGAGAAAGAAAGACGGAAAGAAAGAAAGAAAGAAAGAAAGAAAGGAAGAAAGAAAGAAAGAAAGAGGTAGAGAGACAGGTAGAGAAAGAGCCACAGACAGAGAAAGAGAGAAAGAGAGCAAGAGATAGGGAGAGACAGAGAGTTGGGAGATATACAGAGAGGAGACGAAATAGAGAGGGAGAAAAAAGTAGAGACAGAGAGAGAGTCGAGCTGAGAGAGACTGAAAAAGAGAGACAGAGAGACAGAGAGAGGCAATGAGAGAGACTCACAGAGAGAGAAAAAATTGCGCTGATTGTCACGAGCACATATTTTTAAAAATGTTTTATTCCAACGTTCAAAAGCCAACAGGTCCATGGAGCTGTCAACACCATCCATGGAGCGAGGAAAATAATAATAATAATCCTCGCATTTGATATAGCGCTTCTCACGTCGGGAGGACGTCCCAAAGCGCTCCGCAGAACACACTGTAAAGCGAATTGACTGTATATTTGTGGGCGAACGCGGCGGCCAATTGCGCACAGCAATGCCCCACAAACAGTCGTAGATTGAAAATGACCAATTTATTATTGTTTTTGGTTGTGGAGGGATTATTATTAGGCTCTGTGCGGAGTAAGGAAACTTGCCCGAGGTTTCGCCCTCTGCCTGGAATTGAACTCGGGTCAGTCGCTCGCAAAGCGAGTGCTCTAACCACTGAGCTGCAGGACTCCGCACAGCCGACTGAGCCAAGATAATCTTTCTTCAGACTGTAGGCGATCGACCTAAATCGTTAACTAATTTTCCTCTCTTATTGGATGCCGCCGGACCCCCTGCCCGTTCCCGCTGTGATCCTCGGGGGCTGATCGGCTGATGGGACGGTTCAGGAAGGCGTAGTTCGAGCGCCCGGCAGTCGGAATCTCCGACGCAGTTCTCTCCGCAGTAGCTGCTGCTCCTGTCTCACTCCCTGGAGAACGGCCTGGTTTCCTGAGCTCTGCGCACGAGGTACGGGATCACTGTGTCCACCGCTCCGTAGGGCAGCGACTTGTACACCATGTAGCCGGCCATGCCTGCGTCAGAATAACAGTTACTACACCGCATCATCTGTGGCGCGGTAACAGTCACTGCACTGCCCCGCGTCTGTGTCACAATACCAGTCACCACACTACGCCGCGCCTGTGTCACAATAACAGTCACTACACCACACCATGTCTCTGTCACAACAACAGTCACTGCATCAGCGAGTGAACACCTCGAACACGTACTGCACCTCGAACAGTTACTACTCCTCGAATAGTCTCTACAACGGGCTGCATCATAGCGAACAGTCACCACACCCTGCGACTCAGTGAACAGTCACTACACCACACCCTCCTGTGTCACCGTTACAGAAACGGAGAAGAGAGGACAGACACAGATGCAGACACTTGGACAGATACAGTGACCCCCACACACAGTGACAAAGACACCGACACGCACCGGCAGTGCCACACGCGGTGCCACACATGTGACAAACACAGTGACAGAGACGGACACAGTCACACACAATGACACGTACGGTGACACACAGTGACAGAGACAGTGACATACCCAGGGTGACTGATACATGGTCGCACATGCCCATCAACTGTCCAAAACAAACAATTCCATCATCTTTCTCTATGTTCAATTCCCGCATTCTGGAGTGAAAGAGTGTGTGAGAGTGATACAGCGAGACCGAGAGAGAGAGAGAGAGTGAGAGAGAGAGTGTGTGTCTGACAGTGAAATAGTGAGACTGCGAGAGAGAGAGTGAGAGTGAGAGAGTGTGTCTGACAGTGAAATAGAGAGACTGTGAGCGAGAGTGAGAGAGTGTGTGACAGTGAAATAGTGAGACTGTGAGAGAGAGTGAGAGAGAGAGAGAGTGTGACAGTGAAATAGTGAGACTGTGAGAGAGAGAGAGTGAGAGAGTGTGTCTGACAGTGAAATAGTGAGATTGTGAGAGAGAGAGAGTGAGAGAGAGAGTGAGAGAGAGAGTGTGTCTGACAGTGAAATAGTGAGACTGCGAGAGAGAGAGTGAGAGTGAGAGAGAGTGTCTGACAGTGAAATAGTGAGACTGTGAGCGAGAGTGAGAGTGTGTCTGACAGTGAAATAGTGAGACTGTGAGAGAGAGAGAGTGAGAGAGAGAGAGAGTGTGACAGTGAAATAGTGAGACTGTGAGAGAGAGAGTGAGAGAGTGTTTCTGACAGTGAAATAGTGAGATTGTGAGAGAGAGAGAGTGAGAGAGAGAGTGAGAGAGAGAGAGTGTGTCTGACAGTGAAATAGTGAGACTGTGAGAGAGAGTGAGAGAGTGTGTCTGACAGTGAAATAGTGAGACTGTGAGAGAGAGAGAGTGTGTGACAGTGAAATAGTGAGACTGTGAGAGAGAGTGAGAGAGTGTGTCTGACAGTGAAATAGTGAGACTGTGAGAGAGAGAGAGTGAGAGAGAGAGTGAGAGAGAGAGAGAGAGAGAGAGAGAAAGAGAGAGAGAGTGTGTGTGACTGTGAAATAATGAGACTGTGAATGAGAGTGAGAGAGTGAGAGAGAGAGAGTGTGTGACAGTGAAATAGTGAGACTATAAGAGAAAGAGAGTGAGAGAGAGAGTGAGAGAGAGAGTGTGAGAGTGATATCAGGAGACTGTGAGAGAGTGTGAGAGAGTGTGTGAGAGAGAGAGTAAGAGAGAGAGAGAATAGGTGAGAGTGATACAGCGAGATTGTGAGAGAGAGTGAGAGAGAAAGAGAGTGTGAGAGTGATATAGTGAGTCTATGAGAGAGACCGAGTGAGAGAGAGAGTGAGAGAGAGAGTGAGAGAGAGAAATAGAGAGTGAGAGAGAGTGTGTGAGAGTGATATAGCGAGACTGTGTGTGAGAGAGAATGAAAGAGAGAGTGGGAGAGAGTGAGAGTGTGTGAGAGTGATATAGCGAGACTGTGTGTGAGAGAGAATGAAAGAGAGAGTGGGAGAGAGTGAGAGTGTGTGAGAGTGATATAGCGAGACTGTGAGAGAGAGAGTGAGAGAGAGAGAGAGTGTGTGTGTGTGTGAGAGTGACATAGCGAGACTGTGAGAGAGACAGAGTGAGAGAGAGAGAGTAAGAGAGAGAGTGAGAGAGTGTGTGAGAGTGATATAGCGAGACTGTGAGAGTGAGTGAGAGAGAAAGAGAGAGTGAGAGAGTGACATAGCGAGACTGTGAGAGAGACTGAGAGAGAGAGAGTGAGAGAGAGTGTGAGTGAGAGAGAGAGTGAAAGAGAGAGAAAGATTGTGAGAGTGATATAGCGAGACTGTGAGAAAGAGAGAGTGAGAGGGATATAGCGAGGCTGTGAGTGAGAAAGAATGAAAGAGAGAGAGAGTGGGAGAGAGAGAGAGAGAGTGGTAGAGTGATATAGTGAGAGAGTGAGTGAGAGAGAGTGAGTGTGTGAGAGTGATATAGCGAGACTGAGAGAGTGTGATTGAGAGATTGTGGGTGAGAAAGAATGAGTGAGAGAGAATCTGAGAGTGATATAGCGAGATTGTGAGAGAGAGAGTGAGAGGGAGAGAGAGAGCGTGTGAGAGTGATATCAGGAGACTGTGAGAGTGTGACAGAGTGTGGGAGAGAGAGTGAGAGAGAGAGAATAGGTGAGAG